ACGTTGCGAAAGTTGACGTTTCGTTGGGAAATGTTGTAAAATGCGGATAATATAGCCTTGCGAAGTTTGCCGTTTTTCAGTCATTTTGTATTACAAATGGGAAATTGATAATCAGTTTGATCATCTGATTATCAATTTCCCGTTTGTAATACAAAATGACTGAAAAACGGCAAACTTCGCAAGGCTATATTATCCGCATTTTACAACATTTCGCAACGACAATTCGGAATATTACTAATTTTGTGATGCTCTTTCAAGCTGTGATGAAATTTTTGTCCAGACTTGTCTAGATCAAAATTTCACTCAAAAGGGGAAAGGTCTATTGAAATGCCTGACTGTAGGACCAAATGACTTACTCAAAATGTTGCTTGACTTGATCTTTGGATGCACTTTTTGCAACATGACTGACCAAGACAGTAAGCTGTGAGACAGGATCACTGTCAGTCTCAAATCCCTGAGAAAATTTCCATACCATCACAATCAGGATGGCCAAGTAGAGGAAAGCGAATATGGTGTGTAACCAAATCACGTTTGAGTGTGGGGAAAGATTTGCAAGAGTCGTTGTACCATAGTGGTTTTCCTCTGGGACTAAAACACAGAAATATAAATTAACACTAACTCTGTCTATACTGGATATCAGTTCTAAACTGTTCTTCATAGACCTTCAGTTAGGGTCATCTCTTATTGATCCAGTTTTACTACAGGACCTAAACTAAACTAACTTTATTTATACTGGATAACTCTATCAGTTCTAAACTGTTCTTCCTAGAGGTCCAGTAAAGCCTAGTTCTCATTCATCGCAAACCGTCGGCGATAGGAGCTTTGCGACGTCGGCGACCGCTTGCCATTTATGAGAACACATCAAAAATTATATCGCCGATTGTCCGTAATCGTCGCCGAACATCGGCGATGACATCGCAGGAAACAAAAAAGTTTGTTTCTTGCGACCATCGCCGACTGCCACCTGCTTAAAAAATCTATGAGAAATGAGTAAAAGTTGTTTTTTCCTCAACAAGCAAGGAAATAATCAACTGAAGTTTGACAGAAATCATGAACTTTACGTTGAATGGGGCCATTTTGTGCCTTGGTGGGAAATTTCGAAACACATCGGCTATCATCTGCGACGATCACCGATGTATGAGAACTTTCGTGCATTCGCGCTCGGCGAGTATCGGCGATAAGCGTCGCCGATCGTCGGTGACAGTTTGCAATGAATGAGAACTAGGCTTAAGGATCATCTCTTTTTGATCCAGTGTTACTACAGGACCTAAACTAAACTAACTTTATTTATACTGGACAGCTCTATCAATTCTAAACTGTTCTCCCTAGAGTTCCAGTAAGGATCATCCCTTATTGACTCAGGTTACTACAAGAGGAAACCTAAACTCAAACCTCTATCAGTTCTAAACTGTTCTTCCTAGAACAGGCTAGAGGTCCAGTAAGGATCCATGTCAAACTGGAAGGAGTCTTAAATCAATCAATAATTCATTTCTAACCAGTAGTACATAATTTCATAATTATAATACATATTTTACACAGAATATGGTGCAAGCTGACTGAAAATGTTATATTAATAATTCTCACAAGCTTGAAACATATACTAACCAACATCACCAGAATGGTTAACAGGCAGAATTACAACAATAGAAAGGACACAAATAATAAGAGTATAGTAGATCAAACATTTTTGAAAACTGAGGTAATGAATTGCATCATGTCCTGCCCGCTTGCGAATATCTTCATCAGAGAGTTTGAACACAACACGAATCCATTTGAAGTAACCCTAAAATTAGAGGAAAATTTATTCACATAAGAATCTTGCAGTATCTTATTACCACAAACCACTGGCAGGGGCAATGTTTTGCCAGTTCTCCCTCTAGTGATTAAGCAATTGGACAACAGTTGCACCCCAAATCATAACCAAGGTTTGACAAACACACCAACCCCAATCCCCTCTACCAGACCTAGCTGCATCCATCCCTGTGGTCAACCAGCCCACCATCAGTTACAGTGTAGATAGAGACAGCAACAAACAATTTTGGTGTGGATGGTATACAACCTGGAATTCTTAATATGAATCCTGGTCTTGCATCTAACATCTTTAAATATAGTTGTATATGCTTCATAGTATATTAGATTGTGAGCTGAGACCTTATCTGAAACACCGTCTGTTTCCAAACTATCCTCGCCATCATTAATTAGGCCCTCTTTCCTTTCTTCCTCTGTTTTACCAAAAAATATCTTGGCCCATCTGATTGTGAAAAAAACATATGAAAATCTGAACATTATCAATGTTAATTAATTAAACAATTTGAGAGCAAGGATTTTTGATTACCCATTGTCATTTTTCTGGACTAAAGCAAGCCTGCCGTAGTCCCAAGCCCATCTTCGAATCACACAAAACACAGTTAGGATGATCTAGGGAAAAGAGCAGGAAAAATACATCATGGATGGACCTAGGGAGGTGGGGTGCATGGGGCTATGAACCACACCCCAAATCAGGGTGCGATCATTTCTATTTGATAAGGGAGTTTTGCTATTTGAAAAGGGAGTTTTGCTATTTCAAAAGGGAGTTTTGCTATTTGAAAAGGGAGTTTTGCTATTTGAAAAGGGAGTTTTGCTATTTGAAAAGGGAGTTTTGCTATTTGAAAAGGGAGTTTTGCTATTTGAAAAGGGAGTTTTGCAATAAGCTGTCATGGTTTGTGTCTGAACTATGTCAAACAATTTTAAAACTTTGATCGATTATCATCTTTGTAGCTTCATTAGCGGATTACGTGGCAACTACCAACAGACAGAGGGTCTGTGCTTGAGATTTTGAAATGTGTTTAATATTGAGATAGTTCAGACACAAAGCATGGCTATATTCCCCTCAGTTATTGATCATTTAAAACTATTGAACAATTTGAAACAACCCTTGAGAAAAGCTGCTGTCAAACTGTACACAATTTATAGCAAAAAAGAAATTAATTTAACACTCATGCATATATTGCACAAAACATTAACTAATTAGCAAAGTGATATTAAAATGCAAGAAAGCAATCTAGTATGAGGTATAATTAATGATTTATCATTCAATGCAAGTATGAAAATAGCGTCTGCCAAGGACCAGCTGCCTTGCTCATATTTATAAAACCATGTATGAAAACAATCTCACACCCAAAAAGCAATTCTAAGCAAAAATACAGCATGCTGAAACTATTTTTGGTGTTAAAAGTTTGGACATTAATAGCTTCCTTACCAACCAAATGGCAAAATTAATGCCCAAATTTTCAGGGATTCCTCCATCGGAGCTCTCCACATCGTACGTGTTTCCCGTCACATTGTAGATTTCTGAGCAAGAAAAATTGCTGCTGCTGTACATATTCTTCTCGGGAAAAGCTTGAAGTTTGTAGAATTCTTGTTAAAATATTTAAAATTTCGCCATTTGTGCATCTTTCAAAAACGTCAACAAATTATTTACACTTTGAACATGTTTTCATTTTCACTTCGTGCCCAGTTCCCACACGGCGAGCAAAAGCTCACAGCAAGCCCAAGACACAGAATAAAGATCCACACAGAAGGGCCCCCTGGCCGCCATCTTCCTAAGCCAGTCGATTACATATTCTGGCCAATAAATGCGCTGTATTGGCTGGAGGCCCCGCCTTCTGGCCAGTCAACTGCATATTTTTGCATAAAAAAATGGCGACACGTTGCACCTGGTACTAATCTAATGCCCAAGACTTTCGCGACGCAATTTCAATATTTTACTAAAATTGTCTATACAAAATTCAATATTTCATTGTTCCAAGTCAGATGTTTCAAGTGTAATAAAAGTTGAAAGAGCAAAATTTAATTCGCGTCTGAATTTGCATATTTAGTCTATTTATTCATTAAATGTGTCAAACTTGCAATATCAACAACGCTCAAAATCGCATCTAAATCTTTCTGTTGTATTTTTTTCTATGCAAATTATTTTACCAAACTTATTCCAAGTTTATTGAACTTATTGAGTCATTCAAATTATTCGCTACTGCCCAGAAAAGTACTCTTTGTACGTTCATAAAGCGTTATAAACGTTGACAAAATAAACAGGAATATAAAAGTAAACAACAAGCACGATGCATACAATGAAAATAGTAAATTATCTAAATTGAATAAGCAGAAACAGAATACAATATCCTATGACTCATATTCAATGACATGATTAGTCGTGTGGCGCATCACTGTATATTAAACACACCTGATAACTCAACTCTAGTATCGAACTTGTAATATTTATAAGTTAGCCAAAGTTTGATTAATTTTATAATTGATAAAGCTAATTTTATATTCATATCAATATATCACAAGCCTTATAAGAGTTTGATAAAATATTTTTATTAAAATATTTGTTTTTAACCCAACGGCTTCCAACTGAAGATAACTCGGGGAATAAATGTCGAGTTGTATGCCCAGCTTCTACCAATATCAGGTAAGGTAAAGAATGAACGATATGTGAAGTTTTTCGTGGTCAGTTTCAAGTGTTTAGATCAAATGTCTTTGACTGCGTACGTCAAGGAACTGATTATTTAGTCTCATTATAGAGTTGAATGTCCTGAATTTGTAAAACGTTTTTGAGTATAAGACGTGACAAGAACGGCAAACTGGAAACCTTTCAGAGTGAGACCGTTGCTTGAAACGTCGAAGTTTCTTTTCTGAATACAGTACTACCTGATGCATTGAAAGATGTCCGTTTCAACTTGCTGTTTTTGTTGTGTTTTTTAGTTATAAGTTAATATTTACCAACTCCGGAATTTTCTGTGTACTCAAACGTTATTTCTGTTTACAGTAAATATTTTTATTTGACCGACAAATCCTTTTAAGGCCTTTCAATTTTTGTGGAGAAATCAACATGAACAAACAAGCTTTCTGTCGTAGATTCGCAGAGTCTTCATATAATTTCAGCTGTGCCTGTGCGCAGAGATTTTTCCAGCGTTTTGATTGGTTCTTCAGCTGGGGCGGCAAAAACCAATATGGCTGCCCAAAGTTCATGTTTATTATATAAACGAGGAATATTCTTGCCAAAATGTGGTTATTATCTGAACAGACGCAAACCGAAACATAAAATTAAATTAAAGGTATGTATTTTTTATGTTTTTATATAGTAAAATGACAATAACATGCTGAAACCAACGTGTAGCGAACGAATTAATAAATGCAAACTTAAACCAGAGTCTCAGTAGAGTGTAGTTAAACTGTTACTATGTTGCTGTTAAATAGCACTATGAAAAAATACTGATGTTGAATTTAATTAACTGTAATAGGTTTTATACTGTATTGTCAGTCATGAATAATTCATGATGCTTATATACCTACGGTTTTCAATTTCCTTGTAAAACAATGGATGTACATAATTAACTAATTAAATATTATAAATTGATTTAATAAAAGTTAAAATTTTTTGACCTTGTAATATTTTTTGACCTTGTAATGCTCTATCATTTCTAAATTGTTCTCCCTAGAGGTCCAGTCAGATTCATCACTTCTTCATGCAGAGCACCCAGAAAAACATGTTGTCTTTGGCAGAGTCTTACTGTAGACACTTTTCTCACATATGACAGAAGACAAATTATAACCAGATAACTGCTTATTGCAGCAGTCGAACTCCAGCAATCACAAAAGTTTACAAAAGGCTCATGTACAAACCACCCAGAAATAGGAAACCCACAAATGTGGGTTTCCTATTTCTTCTTGTAAAAACTTAGGTAGGTCTGTAGGGTAGGTCGGTTTTAACTTTTTTTTAAACTTTTTTAAAATTTTTCTAAGGCCATGTTTGTTTAGTCAGTGCTTCCACATCCAAAGATAAATTTCCCTAATATTGCCTCAAATTTCCATTTTCCGCAAACGTTTTCCTCTAAGTGGAAACACTTGGAGGTCCAATAAAAAAGTTTAGGGTCGGGATTTCGGCGCTCAAAAGCTAGGTAGGGAAACCAGAAACCCACATATTTTTTTTGGCCTGACACCAACATGGCAATCAAAGGGGGCGCATCCCAGAAGGCCGAGCTTGCTTATTCTAATAAATATTTATCCGAAAATCATTTCAGGAATCATTTTAGCCTAACACCTTTTTAGCCAGAAAGCTATAACTATGCAGCATCTAATATTTTCATTTTCTGTAAGAAAATAGTCCTGTTGTGACTCACATAAAAAAATGGTGTGGAATGCATGACAGTATATACTAGAAGTTTTTGTTGGTATCCTTGCTCTGTATGAGCACAATAACATTTCTATACAAATAATCTTTACAGATCTATGTGTTGTATTCACAGACATTCGTCTCTGTCAATGGTGCCAATAATCTGGGCAAAATATGAATACCTCCCTCGCATGCTGAATATTTTCAATAAAAATCACTTTTAAAAAGAATTCTATACATTTTTGTACAGTTTAGTAATTTTGACGCTTTCTTACATGTACAAACATGCCTCAAGTGTAGAAGTGAAATCGATGGGCACAAAGCCAAATATTAATGTGTTATATAAAGAAGCAACGTTCTTTGTTGTGGTAAAAACACCGTCATGCCCACACAAAGTTGACCAAAGCCATATTTAAACGTGACGTCCTAGCGTCCGAGCTTCCAAGTGAAATGGGGAGAGCACAAATTGAAATGCATTGTTGAGTGCACGAGATGTTCTCGCGACCTAAAATTTGTAACGCAATTTATGTGCAGCACCATGTTATCGAAAATATAGTCACAGAAAAATTGTGAGCATGTCCATAGTGACATCACATATGTCTTCATCGGGCACTCCCTTTTTCTCCAACACTGGATCAGAATAATTATACTGGTCGCCCTTACTGGACCTCTAGGAAAAACACTTTAGAACTGAGCTATATCCAGTGCACATAAAGGTAGTTTAAAAGCAGGTCAGTTATCTGTAGTTTGAGTATATAAGTATATATTTGTTTTCCAAATATGTTAACGGTAACTCGTATCGCCGTTAGAATTTCCGGCTTACGCTTTGGCCTTTCTCTTCAAATCTATTCAACGCGAGCCAAACTATTCAATTCCTACAGTTTATCCCTGCTAGATGTATTTAAACAGGTTACATTAAAACAATCACCACAAAACATAGCCTTTTTATGTTATAGTGTTCCCTAATGTTCGTGTAACATTTTAACGTTGCCATGGAAGTTTATGATTCCTGATAAAAAATCGTTTTATCAAACGCTTACTAAAACTCACTGTAACGCGAAAAGCTACACTTTCAATTCTAGCGGCTTTTTTTCTTCAAATAACACTACGTATTGAAATACGGATTATACAGGATTATTGATGAAACAATGCAATATAAAAGACCATTCATATTCACAGGGTGGTGTCATACAATATACATAGTTGTTAATAATTAAACCTATTATGAAACAACAACATATCACAGGCTTGGCAAAACCACTTTTGTTTTAATGGCCTTATATTATATATGCGGGTTCCAGAGAGGTTAATGTATAATAATCTAGCATTAATTAGTATGTGGTATGAAATTAAGTATATGTGACTGTTATCATGAAAACATCGCATGAGTGACATCTGTTAAGTGGTAATATACTTGGGAAATCTTGCTAAGAATATATTTTCCTGCGAGTAAATTCATCTGGAACTTTGCGCGGTAAGTTAATGATTAAAATAAGCCGAGTGAATGTTTTGACTTCTGCTCTGTGGGAATGTTCGTGAGATTATAGAATGCTCACATTAGGCCCGTCGCCAAAGTTGACATTTGCGTGTAGTTCGCAATAATAACATATGTTAAAATTTTCTAAAATTTGTATACTGTCAATTTTACGAGAAAAATGAGCAGATCTGTTAACTATTGGGGGTGACAACACGAATACAACGGTTTTATCTAACAGTAGTCGCATGCGATTCTAAACTATTAAACTAACTTTATTTTTACTGGATAGCTGTCAGTTTAGACGGTTTTCCCTGAATCTGAAAATTTTGGGCATCACTATCAGGCTTGATATAAATGAACGTGAATGGGATTTTTGTGGATGGGTTTTCTCTAAAGAAGTAAAGTCGGTACAGTGAGGGGAACCGTTGTAAAGGGGGAAACCAAAGTCTTTGTAGAAAACTGCAGTTTATCTAGCTCTGAAAGCTTGAGGTGCAATTATCATCAAACAAGTGCAAATAACATGAAAGACCGGTCACAGAGTTGACAGACACATGCCACTGTCCACAATCTATTGAATAATTTTCCTAGTAAGCCAATCACTCTTGTCTTCCAGGCCTGCTTGTCTTCCCTTGGATCTGTAGATAACAAAAACACATGCATTCGGAGAATGTTATTTCAAGTTTTTACCATAGATGTTGTCAATGTCCTCATGACAAATGGACAACGTCAAGCACGCGAGAGCACGCGGTACATCTTAACATCAAGTGCGGAAGAAATCCTCGCCTAATCTGCTAGGGAAATCTTATTGTGTATGTGTGTGCTGAATGGATTGAGGAAGCCAGCCAGAGGAGATAAGAAATTGTTGTTGTGTTTTTCTAGTGCGACTGCTGGGCTTCACGAAATAAAAGCTGGGAAGTCATTAAAGATTCTGTTTTTTATCTGCGGAAGAAGTGTATGCATATACTGATATAGGTAGGTCTGTCTGTGTATATATGGTCGAATATGTCAATATGTGTTTTTTACATCATATAGTTTGTAGTATGGGTTTCTGTATATAGTAATAAAATACTGTATCATGATTTAATAGCGCGGTTCTTTCAATATGGATTCTTTTTGGCGACTTAATCGAACTCTCTAACATCTCGAACATCTAATCAAACTCTCTTTTTTCACTTAGTCATACCTGTATAGACATACACGTTCACGAAATGCTAGAGAGTGCTCGATATCATATAGATAGAGCAAATATAGTATAGTTTTGCTTACCACTGCAGCCTCGTTCATCTAATGGAGCCTGAATCTCCGGTCATAGACGTCCTATTTTACACCACCATGCATTTAGTCCGATCAATCAAATGACATTTGAAAGCGTCAGTTATAGTATACGTTATGTAATATATTTAACCCCAAGGCATTAAGCTACTACAAATATTGCCAGAATTAATATCATGCTTTGACAACTGCATTCGGAGTGGCTCAATATTTGTATGACATAACGCTGGTTCAACTACCGAAATTCACACGACTTCTAGCAAAGGGCAAACTTATCGAATGCGTTGGCGTTGCTTTATTGCCAAATAATCGCTCTGCATTGTTAACACGTCCGTTCCATCCGCGACGAGAAGCCAAATCCGATGTTATTTCTTGAAATGATCATATCAGTGCAGACCATTGAACTAGGTGCAGACGTAGACTAAGTTTACACTTGTACTGGATAGTTTTCCGTAGCGACGCGAAAAACACGTATTCGTACCTTTAGGAACGCTATTTTCAGAGGCATTATTGCAACGGAGAGATGTCGTTTCGCTCAGCCTCTGAAAGTTGTACATTCCGTATCAGATAGGTGATTTTTCGCGCCACTACGGAAAGCTATCTGGTATAGTGGAAACATAGCCTATTGAGTTGTAATTTTTTAGCTGCATTGATATTTTTACAACATCTCTTTAGCAAAAAGCGGTCCGTATCTTGTTACAATCAAAATATTGTAGAACACTGTTCTATGGATAAATTACGTTTTATACATACTGTATAAATGAATGCCGTTCTTCAATACATGTCACAATACTCATTCAATTTATCACAAGAAAGAACTTTTAACCAAAAGGAAAGCGATCAAATTTTGGATCATTTCCAGATTTCCTGCTTTGTCCGCGAACCACAACAAAGCCTTTATGAAAAGATGGCCGCATTGATAAGAGATAACCTTCGAGTCAAAATACACAACAAGTCATAACAAAGTGAACATCGTAGCCAAAATACAACAATAATTTCTAAAGAGAACATTAAATTGTCAGCATCTATTCCTAGAATGTACTAGAGGCATAAGTGTAGTCATAGGGCTCCAATATCATTCCTGGAAATTACTGATTTTGTCTCATTTCAACTTTCGTAAAATGTGTAATTTAATACGGTAGTGTAATTCAATACACTGGCACAAAATTGACTAAATGTACATTAGTTTCAGTATACTATAGGTACATTGTATTATATTGTAATTGCGTCAATAAAATGTAAACCTAGCATTACAGCAATAATATATGAGAAAAAATCGAGAATTTTCTTCTTGAGAATTTTTCCATGAAATTTGAGTATATCATAAAAACCTTAATTTGTTCGTGGTTGTACGTACTGCCGAAAAGTATCAGATTTTATGAAGAGACAGAGTAGAGAATGGATAAATTGATCATAAAAATACTTCCGTAACTCTTTTATGGTTAGAGTTAGTCGTGGAGATTCAGTAATAGGCAATTCCAGCTATATAGACTAAATTTTGATCTAAGCAAGAAGAACAAAATCCATCACCACAGCTAGAAGGAGCATGTTAAAATTAGTAAAACTGCAAAGTTTGGTTGTGAAATGTTGTAAAATGCGGAAAATATAGCCCTGCGAAATTTGCAAATTTTGTATTAATTTGTATTACGCGCGGGAAAATGCACCACATTTGGGCCGAAAGTGATGCATTTTCCCGCGCGTAATACAAATTAATACAAAATTTGAAATTTCGTAGGGCTATGTTTTCCTCATTTTACAACATTTCGCGGCCAAACTTTGCAATTTTACTAATTCTAACCAGTGAGCTCTATATATATCTGGAGTAAGAACTTCAGTCATTCGGTCAATGAGCAAAGTGAAGTCAAGATGGCGCCCATTGACGTCCAATAGCTCTGAAGGTCGTAAACAGTCTTTATACCATTTTCCCAAGCTAATTCCAGTTTTTTCTAATGTACCGTATCACTAATCAAGTTTTCAGTTCATAAAATCACAATATTATTCTTTAAATCGAAGTCAAAATACGAAATTTCAACACACTCCTTGCCAAGATGGCGGAAATTGAAGGAGCTCTTGGACGTCAGTTCCAGTCCCTTTCTATTGTTTTGTATGCGCGGTTAACACGAAACTGGCTTCACTTTGAGCAACCAAGTTCCCACTCCAGATATATATGGAGCTCACTGATTCTAACATGCTCTTTCTAGGTGATGTATTTTGTTCTTCCTGCCCAGATTAAAATTTAATCTATAGCTGGAGTCATGCAGTAAAACTCAGGTCGCAATTTAACTCCCTGGCCTTGCTAAGTCGTTTCCTTTGTTTGCCAAACCACAAAATGAGCTAAACAGGTCTAGACTACTAATAACCTCCGTCAAAGGCAACTCAAGGATAAATAAGGAAGGAAGGTCAACCATGCCGCGCCTATCCCATGCAATTAAGAAAAGGAAGCCGTGACGTCAAAACAAACGTCTTCAATGCACGTAAGTCTATAGATATCTCATAATGATATCTATGGAGTAAGCCACAGGCTGAGCAAGGCCACGTGTACTCCGCTGGGCTTCTACGTTGAGCGACATACTGTGGTGAATCTTCTACAACTTAAGGGTAAAACTAGTGGTGGAAGAAATTTATTAAATTCATTTAAACCGTTCGTGTCCACACCATTCCATCCCGCGCAATTACAGCGGCTGAGGATTTTATGATTTACATCTTTTACAAAAGACTATAAAACGTCTTGGTGCATGGTAAAACAACTGGATGACACTCTTTAAGAAATCATAACACAGCATCATCGGTGAGTTTAAACCTTGAAATTGTTTTGTTTTATTGTGTATGGATAAAAGACGCGGGTTTGCGCGCAAAACCAGGTTCTTTATTACGCCTTGATGCGTTCCTGTGCCGCTTGACGCATTTTATGCTTGATGATCTGACAATGAGATACAAGTGCCGAAACCGCAGTGTCTTAAATATAGGAACAGTTTATTCATTTAATACCTGTTATAAGTACTCTAAATCGTTCAAGCTTGAAATCGTTGCAGAAATGTCAAGTTCAAAAACTGTAAATTCATGAATACTATATTATCAAAACAATGGAATCTAGAATATTGCCCAATGAACTCAATTTAGAATGTTTGGCAGACTTAGTAAAACAACTCAATTTGAAAGTTGTGATTAATCCAAACGGGAAAGACTAAACTCTGTTTTTCCTTTAACAAACATTTGGAATCGGTTGAAGCATTAATCTGCGCTGATTGTAAACGGAAAAACCAAGCCTCTGTTATCTCCACAACAAACATTGTTTGGTTTTTATAAAAACAGATACTTAGGCGCGGACACCACAAACATGAAAATAAGGAAACGCGCGCGCTTCATTAACACTGACCGCGCTTTGTATCCTTTTACAACTCGGTTTGTTTTTCCGTTCAAAAATCTTCAGATGCGCCATTAATGTGAATTTCTTATAAACTGCGGGTCGGAGATAGACAAACTGCGAAAAGAGAGAAATTTGGCGACATTTTATTTTACGTCAAGTTGTCGTTAATATTGTAATTGTTAAACTCATTCAAAGATTATAAAACAGATTTCAACGGCGTATAAACTGATAATTCAGATAAAACTTTCAGAAAGCTGGTTGTATCTTACTGATAAACTAAGTACCCATATATCGTCAGGCTAGAATACAAGGACACTACCTTACATTACACTCAAAGTATAAAGCAGATTATACAATATAAACTCAGACTGTAGCCATAAAGTTAAATCGGCTTTCAAACAGCCTGGAACAGGGCTGATAAAACTGGGAACATGTATGTCCTCAAATACACATAAAACATAACGCTTAGAACATGACACGTGGTATATTTCCAGTGTATTGATTGGTGAAATCGTTAGTTAACTCAAATGTGCCATAACCATGAATGACAGCAGAAAAACCCCAGATGAATGCACTAAAATGCTAAAACCAGTGAAACGGTTCATCAAATGGCAACCATGCGATCTCAACAATCTTAACAATCTACAGCTGTAAAAGAATGCATATTCCTTCTCGTACACATTGAAGAGCTATTTTTAAAACCAATGTCACGCTATGGCTTTGGTATGTCATCTATACAGTCACGGTAACACGAGTATGTGCCATACCACCAACAGTGGCTGATGTCATCACTTAATAATCACGGAGCATGCAATGGAAAATATCTCGCATGCGAAGAAATGTGTGCAAAAGTCATGTTGTATACACATCTATTAAGCCTTTTTTACATATGTCGCAAAACCCAACTCACAATGATCGACAGTTTCATCCAATCACAATGCTAGACAGTTTATGTTAATTAGACGTAAACACTCACAGCGAGTTTTTGTGATGAATGGAAAAGAGCCTTTGTACGACGCAATTTTTGCTGTGCACATCAATCATACTCAATTGTAGAAAGAGATATCAAGACATTGCTTATGTTTATCTCATTCGTGCATATGATCTAAAATCCGTTTCCTGGAATTAGTTACTAATAAGTGGTTTAACATGGACATAGTTATTCTCCATCAGTGGATTTCTAGAATATTAATCTAACCGACATCTAGATTTATATATTTCCGAGTAGGTGTAAAAATGAAACTAATTTATTCCGTCAATCACTGAAGTAATAGCTACAGATTAATTTTTTTGCATTGGAACAATGGCATTTCGAATACAAAAGAGTCTTTCCCTTCAATTTTCAACATAGTTTTTCAGTGAAACAGAGTAATGTTATGTGAAAAAGTATTCGTATGAATATGATACAACCGTATGTATCTCATTAAGTCATTATTTCTCAATTTTATAGGATTTAAAAAGCTGTAAAAATCCCTTGTTCTCGGATTAGTTTTCATGTCTGTGAATGTTACCAATATAAGGCCCGTTTTCATTTTCAATTTTTGCTGTTATTTCTAGTACTATTTTCTTATTCTGACGCATGTGAAGGAGTGGATGAGTTATGAATCAGGGGCGGATCCAGCCAAAAATCTGACCGTAGCATTTTCCAAGACCTCGCATAGCTAGGGGGGTCCTAAGGCATGCCCCCCCGGAAAATTTTTGAAATTTGAAGCCCGGAAATGCCATTTCCTGCGTTCTGAGCACTGCATGTGACCATTAAATTTGTCCTCATTGTATTCATTTTTCAAGCAAAAATAAGCCGAAATGATCTCTAAATGTAAACTATTGCTCGCGTATATTTTAACATACGATATCGGTATGATACTCGTATAATACGCATATCATTATCAATTGAATACCGAAATGCGCGTATCATCTACGAACGCGTGTATCATACGAATACGCATATCATATGAACGCGCGTATGATATGAATACGCGTATCTTACGAATATATACGCATTACAAACAAATATTAGCGCGCTATAAAACACGATATATATATACGCGCATATCATAATTCGCGTATTAATTCCAATACATGCAGGTATACTGTACATACGCGCACAAACACTTTAATAAAGCGAAGTTAATAGCGAACACTATACAGTAAAAACTCAAATTAAAATATAATGTGCATCTCTTATCATTCATAAGGCTTACCTGACTGGAAATGATTCGTTTTACTATCTGATTTTATTTCTACCTCGACGCATATAAATCCTTTAGCTTTACGACGGCTTTCATTTCGAAATGCGCACAACCGTACTGTGGGTTCCCAATAGCATGTTGTTGATGAGCCAAACGCAAATATCAGATATTCCATCGTTCTGGAGCAGTAGCCAATTTCATGCCACCGTAGCAAACTATAGCATTTGCCCCATTCCGATTGGTTTGCTACGTTTGACCGTAGCAAACCAATCAGAATGCCGTATATGCCAATTTTCGCTACGGTCAGATTCGACCTTAATGAATCTGACCGTAGCGAAAATTGATCATATATGGGCAACACGCTACGGTGTATTTCTGAAGGATGATATTTTCTAAGCTATAGTCCATTGCGTAATGACCCGCAAACGGGCAATTACAACCGTATTTTCGGGCGGGAATTCTTAAAACAATTAACGTTACGTATTATAAATGTCATCAATTTGTCAAAATAAAATGTTTTAGAACATATAAAACTAAATAAAATAAAACCTTGAAATATAAACAAGGAAAGTAAACAAAATATTGCTAAATTATATTTTACATTGATTTTATGATCCATGTTAGAACTGGCCTATGGAAAATCTGACCGTAGCATATGCTACAGTTGCAACGGTCTAAATCCGCCCCTGTGTGAATGTTCTGAGTATATGTATATACCTCATCTAAACATTCATAACTCTTGCACTCGAAGAAAATCACACCTGAAATCATAGTCCAACAGAGACTAAGTAAATTAACATGATCTAGTTATATGTATTCTTCACAGTCTGTCGCAGAACGAGTGCAGGAAATGTTCAGATTAGTGTAATCTTTTTACACAATTTCTTATATTTCAAGTCTCATAAAGGAACGCTTTGTTCGAGGCTCCGTTTAGCACGAATGTTTCCGAGACCTGTCTTATCTTTCCGTACTTGGACCGAACTTCTAGGATAGGTGCCTTAATTTGCGGTGTATTTTATTCTAGATACGCTTGCATACTTGGTATATACAAAGTTTGGTTTTGTGTTCATCTTTCTGAAGACTGCAGTTCATGAATGATCTAGTCAAGACTTGGCGTGTGTGTGTAAAGTTGAGAGTCACACTTGAAGAATATTTGAGGTAAGGGAAAGCATTCTATTTTATGAAGTCTAACACACCATATATTAAAGTGCACCTAACCTCAATTCTTCTAACATCTCATTCCTAAGAACTTTTGAAATGATATTGTAACTTATTTTGAAGTTTTTGTTTGGACACTTTGTTTCTGAGTTATTTCAGTTTTATTGATATGTAAATGTCCGAAATTTACGTCACATGTGGATAATGACTGATCAAAGAATGTAAGGTACAGTTAAATATCATGAAATAAAAAGGTTAGTGGTGTTTATGTAATCCTCCCACATTGACTCCAAACTTCATTTTAATGAATTAAACTCGACAGTGAATACGATATACAAGCTTTTACTTTAAATCATTACGCATTTGTGACGTAAATTCCGGATATTTTCATACCAAACACACTGAAATATCTCAGAAACAAAGTGAGCAAACGAAAACTTCAAAATAAGTTATTATATCATTTCAGACGTTCTCAAAAATGATATAAGATAAAATAATTGAAGTTAGGTGCACTTTAGTTAAGCCTCTTTTCCATTCATCGCAAGAATGAACTCACTGTGTCATTTGAATACTTTGAAACAACCACAATCAATGCTCAACAGTTTATTTTAATTTGACGCAAGCACTCGCAGCGAGTTTACAAGTTGGTTTTGCGATGAGTGAGATGAAAAGCCTTTATCACGTATACAATTTCGCTTTGGCCGAGCTTGATTTTAGGAAGTTATTTATAATCCTGACGCACCTGGGATAACTGCCTGCCTGCTACGTCCTTATCATGGTAACCTGCCTGATCGCAGGTTACTATCATGGGAAATGAGCGATTCACTTCTAAATTGGTAATTTGGCATCGATTACTGGCTTATAACGTGATTGTTGTGGCGATGTTTTTATCATTGTTTTTGCTTACATGGCGACTGACGGATGACGTTAACTTCTTAAGTATTAAATTTTAGGGGTTTTTTTTTTCAAATTGGAAACCGAGTATGCCTTCGCCTTTCTCTACTAACGCCTCAAATCTCTATTAAATACATAAACTTTTAGTCAAGGTATACCATAGCAAGACTTCGTAAATATGCAAGCAATCCAACTTTGCACCGCATCTTGAGGGGGGCATTGGGGGGGGGGGTGTATTCAATACCGTTATAGCGCAAGCAAATTTTCGGTCAATAACCGCAGTTTTTTACTCCAGAATTGCAAATACCGTGTACCGCAAGATTTCCAATATCGTAATACCGCAATTTTTCAAGGAAATTACCGTAAGAAAAATAAGCCAATACCACTATACCGTAAATCCCAATGTCCCCCCCCCCCCATCTTCTATGGGCTGCAGTGTACGTCAGAATGAAATAATATGGTACATATAATAGTTTTGTTTGTGGAAACACCACGTAAATTTATTACTGCAAAGCTTTCGATCCGTAAGCCCGGATCTTCATCAGTGCTAATAATATATGACAAATATATGGCAAACGTACAAAGGACTTAATATGGCACATGTTGAAATCTCTTGTTCATGACATAATCAAATTTGACCTGGTTGGTCTCTGGTATTGTTTTCGTCTGAGAAAGTATCTCTATGTAATTACCTTGAATTTCTAGTGACGAAATATGAAGCATTTAATATTAGCCATAATTATCGCTGCTGTCATATTGTTTTGTATTTATAAGTCCAGGTCAACCGAGAATGGGAGTTGATGAGAGTTGGCGTCCTCAAACTACACTCAGATATGTTCTATAGCATTAAATATCCTCTAATCTTTTCATATACAACTTTAATTTGATATGAGAGTTTGCATCCACAAACTACACTCAGATATGTTCTATAGCATCAAATATCCTCTAATCTTTTCATATACAACTTTAATTTGATATGAGAGTTTGCATCCTCAAACTACACTCAGATATGTTCTATAGCATTAAATATCCTCTAATCTTTTCATATACACTTTAATTTGATATGAGAGTTTGCATCCTCAAACTACACTCAGATATGTTCTATAGCATCAAATATCCTCTAATCTTTTCATATACACTTTAATTTGATATGAGAGTTTGCATCCTCAAACTACACTCAGATATGTTCTATATATAGCATTAAATATCCTCTAATCTTTTCATATACACTTTAATTTGATATGAGAGTTTGCATCCTCAAACTACACGCAGATATGTTCTATATATAGCATTAAATATCCTCTAATCTTTTCATATACACTTTAATTTGATATGAGAGCCTTTGCATCCTCAAACTACACTCAGATATGTTAGAAGCATTAAATATCCTCTAATCTTTTCATATACAACTTTAATTTGATACGAGAGTTTGCATCCTCAAACTACACTCAGATATGTTCTATCCTCTAATCTTTTCATATACACTTTAATTTGATATGAGAGTTTGCATCCTCAAACTACACTCAGATATTCAGATATGAACACATTAAGCATATCTGACGATGCAAAATCCTCTAATCTTAATCTTAAAGCATTAAATATCCTCTAATCTTTTCATATACACTTTAATTTGATATGAGAGTTTTCATCCTCAAACTACACTCAGATATTCAGATATGAACACATTAAGCATATCTGACGATGCAATATCCTCTAATCTTTTCATATACAAGTTTAAGTTTTGTTTTATTTCCACTTACAGTAAGAATAAAATCTTCTCTAGTTAAGTTGTATATTTTATAAGCTCAGCCATTCAAGTAAAGACGACCGCGATAAAACATTTCGCATTTTTGCGCAAGAAAAAAGCAAATGTATTGCAGTGTTTATACATAGTCATTTAAACTCCTCGATGTCATGAACTTTATGTCATCATTCACTTCAAGCTTTCTTCACAGATGTCTGCTACAATATTTTCATTGGCAAGCTCTTTTGAGTGATAGCTCAATACTTCTTTTTTTGCGTCACATTTTGCCAACGCGTTAGGAGATCGGGGACAATGGGGTTACGTACGGGTGTCCCCGATAATTTATGGAGTATCCACATCGGGCTGTAGAGGTAACCCACCACCTCCAATGTTAAAGGAGACATTTGTAGTTAGTATTGATCAATATACTTCGCTTCTAAAGCCAATTGTTCCAGGATTTTAGAGTATGTAAAGAATCATGTGTCATGCTTCAGCAACTGTGACATATCTATAAAAGCAGTCTCTGTCAGCGTCAAACTGCCTGACCCAGACAAGACCTTGAACTGATATAATCACTGAATTTATCATTTGAGAAACCAAACACCGCATACAGATCAGAGACATTGGTCGTGTGATACAGTAACACTTCATCTCACTATGTTCAGCCGTCATTATATCAAGGCAATCACAAGAAAGGTCATGCGTAATAATGGATAACAACTTTTGGGGATTATAAGTGAGATATTTTGTGATTCGACCTGGAACTGAATACCATATGTACACGACATTTGTCTGTGTGATTTTGATGTCTGATCTTCAATAGACAGCAAACGTTTGTGATTATTCTCTGGTATTTTAAAGATTTATCGGATTTGCGCGAGTCTCTAAGATTCTGTGCTTTGAAGCTCTGACTCATTTTAGAGGCTGGGGAATACACAGCAAGAGGGAAACGAAGGCTGGGTTGAACTGTAAGTAGATCAGTTTAGGTAAATGATTGGCCACATTCTCATGAGGAATTTACTATCCTACTTTGTGCACAGAGATTTTACTTTGATTTTTCATTGGCGGGTATTTGTAAGAGAACAAATTGATTTGAAAAGACGACACATTAATTAAGGAAAATTTGGTCCTGTGGGACGGGGGGGGTGTATATACACCAAATGTCCCAGGCTGGACATCGTACGACAGCCAAGTTAGTAGCAAATATCACAGGTTTCCTACGGTATAGGGTTCTCTTGTGCCTTATTGGATTTCTTGGGAGAAGAATTTAGATAGAATCATAGAACTAATATCTGAGCGCAGTACTTGTTCATCAAGGGCAAATCAAAGTGCAAAAATAACAGTTCTAGCACCGTCTAAAATAGTTTTGTTTACGTAACCTGCAGCAACCATTACTTTGTTCTTCCTTCATTTTTAATTTCGATAAGTCTGGCTACGAGATTGCTAGATTTAATAGATACACTAAGATAATAAAGTTGTTTCCAGAGAAAGATGTAATTGTTGTTTCCAGAAAAAAAACCCCAAAAAACACGAATATAAGAGCATCGCACCTGACAATGAATAGGTTTTTTTCATTTTTTATCTCCACAATTTTCACGCTGATTGTCGTGTTGGCGAGTATGTCTTTCACGTCTAAAGCGAGCAGTTGAGAGCTGATGGAGTTGATTGACGCATGATTACCATGCAGTCTATTTGGCGTTGCTAGGTTTACATTTTGCATTCGTTTTTAGTTGATAAGAAAAACGACTTAACTTTATTTGGCACATAACGCGTGTGAATGTTGTCGTTTTATCGTTATTCAAACCAGATGATTTATTCGAGTTTTGATTGAGGTTTCATCTCTGTATTTAGCCATTGCATGCGGGCATAGGAATTCTCTCAACTACATTAGAAAAATCTGTCGCTTTATACAAACGATAGAAATGTCATGTATATAGTTTTATAAGGTAATGCTTGCACCCAGTAAGCACACGTCTTTTTTAACAACTGCTTGCATGATTACAATTTCACCTCATGCAGTGTGATGTGAGAAAATTTCTTCCATGAGTTTCACTTTGACTCTACCAAACCCCACATGCAGATTCAATTCCCACTTAGGTGCTCCAACTTCCTCCTGTAATACCGCAGGAACATTAGGGGAATATGATGTCCTCACTGGACCTTTAGGGACGAAAACAGGTTACTTTTCACTACTATTGAAAAAACTTGTTAGGAAAACTAGGCATTGAGATACACCCCGAACAAAAATGATCAATGTAAATTTAACTATAGTTCTTTAATGAAGTGCAAAAACACTTCTCACGTTATCCACTGGAAGACGAGAGTATAATAGTAATATAGTATTGAAATACTTGAAAGGTGTTGATAATTCGTCTCACTTCAAGATTATTTGTTAAAAAGGTTAAAACTACTTTATCAGCTTTATGAAGGGCACAAAATGTCGTGTAGTTTTGCTTATTTTCCTCCGGTTATTTCCTGTTATAGTTGTCTTTTTAAAATATAATTGTAAAATAAACATACAATCCCTAGCATTCCCATTGTTAACAGAGAAATAGAATGAGTTTATGTTGGAACATTTACTATCGTGTCACTTGGTAGTTAATTTTCTCAATCGCTTTAATTTCTTCTTGATTTGTTGACATAGCCTAGTGAAAAATGGAATCAGATTCCTGTATAATCTATTTATATCCTTCCGATTTAGTAATACATATATGCATTAAACTTTTATTCAATCAAATTTGAGAGCCTTCCTTTGTGGCCTTAAATGGGTGGCCTGTCATGACAATGTCAAAAAGTCAAGGGGCTTTTTCATGCTTTTTTACTCCAAAGTGTATCGTACTCTGTGTGACACCAGACGATTTTTTTGTTAGTGCAAGAGTTTGCAAGATCATATTAATTTTGCTCATATGCAAAGTTACTTTTTTGGTTATGTTACGGTACATGCCGAATATACCATAATAATTCAGAGCTGTGAAAATTCAGAATCGCGAACATATATAGCGGATACGTTTAACCATGGTTTAACTTTGGCATCAATATAGCAGCCCACGGAAGCATACCAATTTGTTTTTAAATTTTTTTGGTGTAGCAAATGGCGCTTAATCAGGAAATGCGCAATATTATGAAGGGTTTTGAGGACTTACGATCGTAGACGTTTAACATGACCTACATATTTGATGTTTTGGAATGCCATAGTCTTACCCCCTTAATAGCCAAATCAAAGGAGTCATTCGCCCTTCCCAAACAGTGTGTAATTTATAGTGCTTGAAGTCTGTGTTCAATTTGTTCAGTACAGTACATTACAATTTGCAGTACAATAATGGTAAAGTACGATACACTACAATAAATTTGGAAACAGCCGTATACTGCTGATGTGCACGTCTCATTCGAGCTGCTTCATTTTCGCCTTCATATTCCTCCAATGAATGAACGATATTTCACATTATGAAACATTATTTCAAATGAGAATTATCGACTTCAATTATTTATGCCGTCTGCGTACCTCCCCTTAGAACAATCAATACTTGACGAGTTTAAAGCCAATTTAAAGGTGCGGAGAGCTTTGAGTGTCTATGGTATTTGAATTGCTGGACGCCAACCAAAATTCCCATCTACATTATCAAAACGTTTGCCAAATGCGAAAACTAATTTGAAAATTCTGCGCGCATTTGCGCGCGGTCTATAAGATATGCGCGCACGTTTGTACTGCTTGCGTATTCAAATTTTTCTGCAAATAAAAGATCGGTCAGGCTATATAGCTTTTACTGTAAGGGCGGCGTTGAAAATTTGACTAATCAACACAAATTCACCCCATCGTACGATAACGATCGCCGGACAATACCCTAATGTTCCCGAGTTTTAAATATTATACCCTAATGTTTAGTTGTCTTTCAACACTACGAACTTTGGGGCATTTTTCCGTCAGGAAGCCGCCCCATCAGTAACCATTTTCTTCACAGCAATATCAGTCTGTGTCTTGTGAATGATATAATATACTAATCAAAACCATGGAACTTATTTTGCATAACGAACCTGAAGTTATGCAGTATATTCTCGCTGCTTTTGACGTGTAAACACAAGTGTAGAACAGAGATATATGTGTGCATGACCCTTTACACGAAGTCCCTCACACCTGTTTTTCATATACATCCAGCGCTGTTTTTCATTGTTAAATTAGTGAGCGATTGAGAACTCTAAGTGTCCTCTATGTATGAGGTCATTTACCTGTGGAGTTGAAAAGGCTCCCCAACGTATGTCTATGTGATCGACGTGTCGACAGCAGTAGTGTCGCTGCGTCCGTGGATGCTATGACATTTTAATTCAACGCAGTCCACACGATTTTGGAATTTCTGGTATCGAAAACTCTCGAGTGCGTTGAAACCGTATTGAAAATAACAAGCTGTTTGCTTTTTGGAACACGGAATTTTTCAATGTTGGGATGCTGAGTTAAATGTGAACTTGGGTTGCCAGCTTTCTGAGCTAGTGTAGAAATCGAAGGTACATGAATCGAGGCTAAACTCGACTGCTGTTTCATGTCCATTGAATACTGGTAAGTCAAAATAGAATAAATTGGCTACGGCTTTGCGCAGTTTAGCTTTATGGAAGGGATTCGAAGGTGGGTGTGACAGATTTCTACCTTGGCGCACAAAACGAGACGTAGAAAATGATCTTCATGGTACCGTTTTGAGTGCGCAAAATATATAATTGTCAGTAGGCGTTTGTTTTGAAATGTGAAGCATGAATGCTGATGCGACTGAGTGATATCGTCCATACTGATCTGTGTTCTAAAGTGCTCTGGGTATATATTGTTTATATACGTCTGTAGTTGAGTATTTTATTGTACAATGAACAATGTTTTCGTGTCAATATAAACAACTGAATTTCGGTAGTAGTCACGCGATTTTATATGCAGAGTTGCTAATGTATGTGTTCTTAATCTGGCTATATATTCTTATATTTATTTATACAAAAATACTTGAGTACTTTATTGTACAATATATAAGGTTTTTCATATCAGTCTAAACAACTGGATTGCAGGTGATCATGCAATTTGAATAAATCTCATGCGCGATGTATGTAAATTACAACAGACATATGCTTGAATTCAAAGTGCGAAAAAAAATGAGTTGCTAGCAGACATACGACTAATTAGTTGTGTTTAATTGACAGAATTTTGAGGAATCCTTTATGATCTAATTTCATTGTTTTCGTGTGGTTCTTCGCGTACCACTTTATAATTAAGAATCGAAGAAAGATGACCTGGTAATTCTCACGCGAAATCTCAACGTAAATTATTACTGTACTTAGTGTACCTCAACCTCTGTCTAAATCTATGTCGCTCAACTCCTTAATCGTGCTCCATATGCTGTTGCTTCTATCTTTCAGCGAAATAGTCTGCCTTCATTTAGCAAGTCCATACACAGATGCGTGTGTTGTTCTCTTTGGTATAATGACTGATGTGAATTTGCCATTGGATTCAATTACATTTAAGTTGTACAAGTATTAGTTACTAGCAAAATATGTTGGTTAAAAATGAATTGGATATACAATGTAATGTCAACCCTATTAACATCATATGCGCTAGTATATTTACTATAAAATATCTCATTAGCATATTATGCGCACTAATGCTTAAATTACAATATCGCATTCATGCAGCCACATGCCGTAAATATCATCGGAACGCTTTCCGCGTGATAGGCGCGGAAAAACAACAAACTTATTCATGAGGCTTTGAATAATATATCGTGAAAACATCAATGGGAAATGCTTATTCTATTTATATCCATGAACAGGAAACTTGCAATTGCGACAGCAATTGCCGCGTGACGTAAAGAAATGTGTGTGTTTGGTGAAACGTATTTTAATAGGCGTTGACAATGAGTGTGAAAGACACAATGGTTTGCATAACCTTGATTTGTTCTGGCTTGCAACACACTCGTTTCTATGAAAGGAGAGGTGTGAATACTGAAAGAAGAGACCTGGATAGTCTTTGAATTGCTCTGACCTTGCGAACGTTCTACGCCATGAATGATTCCAGATATACACTAATTTTTGATCTAGGCAAGATGAACAAAATCCATCACCACAGCTATTCATTACCAGTATGCATGTGAACATTAGGGGCGGACCATTAGAAAAGTGATGGGGGGGGGGCTAAATCTTGCAGATATTGGTGCAAAAAAAGGTTTTAAGCATGTTTTTGTTAATTTGTCAGGGACAAATGATTTGTATTGAACCTTAACTTAACTGATGTTAGTCCGGAAATTTTTTTGACCCTTTTTTTATTTTAATGTCCTGAAAAAATGTTAACTTGCATCAGGGGATTCATTTTTTTAGAGTCAGCTGGGGTCAGTTGTTCAAAGCTGATCAGCTTAACCCTAGGTTAACCTAAAATTCACTCAAACTTCCTGACAGCTTGTTTATAAATTTGGAAATATTTCTTCAAAGATCTTGTCTGGATCGATAGAAGTTTTCTTCTCTCAAGTTTTGAAATAAACAGACGTGTAGAAATACACAAACTAAAACAGCAGGTTAAATTTTAACCGAAGGTTAGCGCTAACCCACTTTTGAACAACCGGCCCCTGGTGTCAAAAGGGGTCATTAAAAAAGACATGCAAAAAATCCCTGCGGAATGAAACGTTTGGAATTACAGTAAATGACATGAGGTCTCCTGTGGTATTTTTTTAAAGCAGTGGGAGGCTGGGTTCCGCCGATTGAGTTATCATGTTCTGGGAGTGATTAGATTTCCTAGGCTGGGAAAACCGCCGCGAAAAGTACTTTCTATTTCTGGAGTTAATCTAACTGTCAAAATTGTGCCCGTTTTGGGATATCCAAATATAATAGCAGGAAATTGTTTAAATATATATAACTCCATAAACATCGCAAGCAGTTGGGAACGGCTATTTCAAAATAAACGTTTTTGTCAACTCGCCCAAAATATTATTTTGTCATTGCGTCTCGATGCGTTGTGTTACTTTCCAGTTTTAATTAACACTAGGAAGAAGTGTTTAGAATGAATACGTCTAGGACTAGCCAGAATACAGCCCTGGTCAAATGAGAATTTGATGAGAGTTGAGAAGCGAGAGTTTACATGAGAGCCCTAACCTTAACACTAACCCTATACCCTTTTCAATAGACCTTTCCCCTTATGAGTGAAATTTTGATCTAGATATGCCTGGACAAAAATTTCATCACAGCTTGAAAGAGCATCACAAAATTAGTAATATTCCGAAGTTTCGTTGCGAAATGTTGTAAAATGCGGATAATATAGCCCTGCGACGTTTGCCGTTTTTCAGTCATTTTGTATTACAAATGGGAAATTGATAATCAGTTTGACCATTTGTAATACAAAATGACTGAAAAACGGCAAACTTCGCAAGGCTACATTATCCGCATTTTACAACATTTCGCAACGAATCTTCGGAGTATTACTAATTTTGTGATGTTCTTTCAAGCTGTGATGAAATTTTTGTCCAGACTTGTCTAGATCAAAATTTCACTCAAAAGGGGAAAGGTCTATTCTGAAGTTCTTTACGTTTTCCTGCAGGTAGTAGCAGGCATTAAATGGCAACGCGAGAAGCTTTCGCTGCTGACGTAGCTCACGAGGACACGGCCTTCCAACCAGGAGTCTGGTGCGAGAAATGTAACAAACGTTTGGTTGAACTGAAAAGACAAACATTGAAACTTATCGTGCCTGAGCTAAATAATGTTATCCAGTATGAAGGGAGTTTACACAGGGTGAGTACAAATCTTTCTTGTGGACAGATTTAAAATGAAACCTTTCCGGTTAACCACTTAACCAAATATGAAACCTTTGGTTAACCGCATGTAACCCCGGGTAACCGCATGTAACCACAGTTAACCGCATATAACCCTAGTTAACCACATGTAACCCTGAGTGAATCGTCCGTTTTATGCATCCTATACTTCCGAATGATCATGTTAATTTTTCATTGAATGAACCGGTTTTGAACTTTTGAGACAAAAGTTTATTTTCGATATTTTTAAAGATGACGTCATGAAAGAGCGCACGATATAGATAGTATAATTTGTGAAACAGCAAAATACCGATTTGTTCGACTCACAAAAGTAAAAAGAAATATTATCTTAAACAGGTTTTGGTCGATTACTATTCCGGAAAAATGTTATTGTTTGACGACATAATACACAATTACTGAGCCGTGTTTTCAGCAAAAACATCTGTTCTCAATATCTCTTTTGCAAACCTGTCTTCATGTTTGTTACTCGAAACCAATTACTCCATTTATGCTAAGTTCAACACGTATGGACAAAAAAAATCAGGGATTTGTTAACTGAAAGTTTGAATGCTTGCTACAAGGCTAAATTAGTCATTTTTATGTCAAGTAAATGAGCTATTACTTCTTCATTAACGCGTCTGATGTGGTGTCGCCATCTTGACTCGGACGAAATTAGTTTTCTGCTTGCATTGTGTGCGTGTACAATAGGCTATAAACTTGCATAAAAGCTCATGAAATTGGCGGCATTTGAGTCACGCCTGTTAATGATACGTTTCATTGTACAATTTCTGTAAAAGAAATTAAACTTCAATCTTTCCTGCTGGCTATAATAATGTTTGATCCTTTAGCATTTTTTCAATTATGCAAATATCGCTGCTTGAAAGCCTACAGAAAAGCTGTCTGGCTCCATCTCATTTAGTCTTGCACTGTACTAACTTAACTCAATTATGAAACTTTTGTGAAAAGAATCAGCCAACGCTCTACCGAAAGTCGTGGGGTACTTCGGTTGGAATGGTTGACAAGGTGGGTTGCATGGGATTAGCTCCTAACTGACCCTTCCCCTTTAGCTGTGTTTCTTGATCAGACATGAGTCACAAGGTGCCTACCAGAAGCGCCCTTAGAAAGCCTTCGACTCGATCAGGTTGAGCTGCTACTAGAATTAGTATCCTGCATGTAAATTCATGCATCCTTTAAATTTTCACATGAAAAAAAATTCTTAGAAAAAAACTTTAGTATTACCTCTATTTCATCTTCATATTTAGGTTGACCTTTTGCCCTATTAGGTAGCTAATATTGTATATTATATTGTATCAGTATTAGGAGGGCCGCAGGTTTATCAGTTTATGCTGTTATATCAGAACCAGATAGCTGAATTGATGCCGCGTCAGCCTGGCTACTGCAGGTTCACTAATCATGCATGAGTCACCTTTGTATTCGCTGACACAGTGTGGATATATATCATGGAGAACGGTTCTGATAGAGCTATCCAGTATTAATAAAGTTAGTTTTCATTAAAAGCAGGAGAAGGCCGGCAAAGCCGTGACTTTGTGATTGTACTCAATAATTGTTTTTTTGTTCCGCGTACAATGCCAATCGCTGTGTATTGTACGTTTCACTAAGAAATTGTCATTTTAACATTGGAACAAGACCCAACACGTTTAATGACGTGTCCTTTTCGGTAATATTTGCGAAATGTTTTCGGGACAATTTTCCAAATTGTGGTCACAAATAAATAACTGTGGTTTTTCGGTACTTTTTCGTGCATTTAAATGTTATTAAAACTCCAATGTATGCTAACTATTATCAACACAAATATAGTAACGCCTTAGATTAAACTGTACACATCTCATGCGAGATAATATAGTAATATTAAGAGTTGTTTGACGCATGGAAAATTGGATCAAAAACCTATATACGTATATTTCAGACGTAACCGCAAACAGTTACATATATAGATACAGTTTTTTGCCCGAAACTTCTTAATTTCCATTCCTCAAAAAGCTTTAAATTTATTAATGGCTTGCCGTAATAATAACACGTTAATAGGCCATATTATGCTCTGCCGTATGTTATATTATGCAAAGCAAGAGCAGTAAACGATGACCTTTGTTGAATCTGATTAACAATATCATGCGGCTACAATCAACAATGACACGCGGCAGGAGATAGCACTACAAAGCACTTTAAAGCTTCCAGTTAGTTTAAACTCAATACTCACAAATGGCCACTGAAGTAAGAGGCCGTTCCTCGAAGCTTCTTGATGCGCTTGTTTTACACAAACCGATACCCATTAAACGAAAACGGAGCTGTACCACCTTTAGTGAGTCGACGAGCGATTTGATAGAAGATGAAAATGATAAAGATATGGGGGAAGTTAATCAATCTCATCTTGATTCTGTGGAGTCAGTCATCGATGAGGTACTAATGTCGTTGTGTATTTTAGGAATCTAGTGCTACTTAGCACGCATTGGTATTTTATAGTTAGAGAATTGCCTCATTTTTTCAGTGTAGATATAGCGGTATTGATATAATTGATGTAGGTTTTGCAATTCCAATTTTAATGCTGTATGTGGATTCTGTTATCGATAAACTATAATTATTGTGTATTGTTGGTTTCGATTTTTAAAAGATAAGATAAGATATTGCGGTTTCCAGTGTATCAGTGGCAACAGTAATCATAAGATTGATTGAAGCATGTAACTACTTGGAGAAAATACCTACAGGTTTTGAAGGAAGACCCTTCATTTTCATGTAGAAGCCACAAAGATTAAGGAAGTAGACGAATTAAGTGTCTTCCTTCGAAGGAATCGAAGCGTCGAGGTTGTGGCCTTTTTTTCAGGTAGTTGCATTCATCGACCAAGCTCAATGTGATTTTTGACAGCACTTTAGAGAGTCTCCTCATTTAGTGCATGTTTAGATCAAATATATATTTGCTATCAGACTATTTCTAATCTCTCAATTTTGGCGGTTATCGATAGCGTATAATTATATTGTGAATCTTTCGAACTGGTATATTAGGCTTATCAGATAAACAAGAATATATAGTTTATAAGCAATGACATATAGAGAACAGCCTCCTTTAGTCTTAGTATATAGTTTAAATATTATAGGTATTCAATTCTAATTTCAATGTATGTGTGGATTCCGTTATCGATGTAGTCTGCATAAGCTATAATTAATGTGTATTTTTGGAATTGATTTATCAGATAAACTAAGATAGATTAATGAAGTGAAATGGAATTTAGGGAATGAAACTATATAAACTCACTTTATCATACTTGCTAGCTTTATCAGTTCTAACCGTTCTCCATGGAGGTCCAGTAAGGATCATCCCTTATTGATCCAGTGTTACTTTACAGGAGGAATCTAGAATACCGGGAAAAATCTTCGGTATTTGGTAGAGTCAGGCTTTATTTAACAGGAAATAATTGAATTACGACATATAGTCATGTTGCTTATAAGGAAAGGGTCGATATTAGCCCGAGTTTGAAATTGTAGGTAGTCACTTATTCATATACTGGAAATATATATTCTAGTATACTTGGTTTAGAATGCTGCTTTTTAGCCCAGTTGACGTCAACTCGCCGAGCATGGTTCTACTCCTGCAATTCCACTTGTCAGGTTATATTTTCTTCCAGTTTGACTCAAACACTGCAGGTTCTCTTCAAACCCTCCGGGTTCCTCCCATGGTAACTTTGGACGAATAGAGGATATACTCCTTACTGGACAGAAATGATAGTGCTATGCAGTATACACTCATGTTAGTTCAATTTTGTCAAAGGTTCAAACCACATATGCTGTCCTTATTGTGCAATGTTTGCTTCAGAAGTTCTAGATTTTGTTATAAAGTAGCAATCCATGATGAATGCAGGCCTTCATACATCTCGACATTAGCGTAGGGAGAAAAGGTACCGACTATAGTTACAGTTTTTGTAGCGGCAAAGTAGAGAGAGGAATACAGTACTCTGGAATTTCGAGGGAGATCTCTAACCCAGCAGGAGTGTAAATGCCCAAATGTCATTTCTCATAAAGAAAAAAAGCATTTATCGAGTTTTTGTGGTGGATTTTTATTTTTCGTTCGTTTTCACGTCCTAACAATTTTAGTCTTTTGGGCTTGGTTTGACTGTTTCCATCCGCATTTCATTGATTCAACTTTACATTTCAGCAAATGCTCACAAACGTTCACATATTTTAAATTTTATCAGATAGCTCAAATGCCTATACGATAGCTACTTCAGCATGATGTCATATACTCTGAATATATTTGACTCTGCTAAGGGCTGGTTCATACTATTAAAGTTTCTGTGATCACAGTAGCAATTTTGCATGGGTAAATTCTATGTTTGCGGAAGGATTTGTGAGCAATGTTTGAGGGGACTAAATCAGTGTTTAACACTGAATCATTTCCCTCAAACATTTCTTACAAATCCTTCAAAACTCAGAACTTACCCATGCAAAATTCCTACTGTGATCACAGAAACTTTGGTAGTGTAAACCAGGCTTTGGCACACAGCATAAATGAATACCTACATTCATTCCTGAGATCACGTCTGTCATAAGCTGATCATAGAATATAGCTCTAATTATCGTCTAGTGCAGGTTTCTGCCCGTTGCCACGAAATATCAGATAACGTACACTATCAAGTAACTAGGTATGTAAGCATAGAATGGAACAAAGGTGATCAAATATCAAAATTATATATCTGAGTGAATTGGGCGGAGGAAACGGGGCAAAACATGGAAAAAAACACTAACGGGGTTGTGTCAACTACATGTATGTAAGTTACTGGGAAAATTATGACTCCTACATTGCTATACAATGCAAGACAATGCGGCTCACTGATAACCTGGTGCTGTGTTTGGACAAAGAAACAATCTGCATTATAATTAGAGACGAACAAAGAGTTTCCGTCACCAACGTTTCCAGCCTCAACAATGAATCATGCATAACATAGACGAAACTAAACCAATTTATTTCAACTGGGTAGCTCGATCAGTTCTAAATTCTCCTTCCTAGAGGTCTAGTAAGGGCCATGTTATCAGTGTTACTACAGGAGGAAACCTAAACTAAACCAACTTTATTTATACTGGATAGCTCTACCAGTTCTAGACTGTTCTCCCTAGAGGTCCAGTAAGAATCATGTGGTGTTAGGAGATGTAACGGCTACAGTTAGATAATAGTGAGGTAGTGAGGTTCAGATTTGACTACTACCGCTAACATTAATAGACCATTAACCAATCAGATGCGTTTAATCTTACCGATTAACCAATTACATGCGTACAAAAATTAGCTGAAGTGGAAGTCGAATCTAGGTACTTCGGATCCCAATAGCCTGTTGGAAAATCCCCTCATCAATGAGTGAAAAAACGCAATAAACTCAAGATTGATTTTGCTATTTTTATTCCCAGGGTTCGAGGCTAGCGACGCGTATATTTGACCAACTTCGCGTTCCGGATACAGAACTGAAATCCTGGCGAGACAACCGCTGTGATATTTGTTCGACCAACGTGGCTCAGCTGAAGAATGAAGCGCTGAGTATGGTTCAAACTTTGGAAGATTCCCGCTTATTGGCTGCCCACGTTCCAAGACTCGCTACGTCACCACCTACGTCACCAACGGAAGGACAGAGACCGCTGGTCACGAATCCTTCAGTCGCCGAAAGCTCATACAACCATGCTGTGAATTTTCCACCAAGATATGGTGAGAATCTACTGTATTAATATATCGTGATGATTTGTACTTGGCTAGAAAAATTAGGTTGTAGTTTTTCTATGAAGCGTTGGTAACACAGTGGTGAGATAGTGCTCATGTGCGTTGGTTCGATCCCTGCAGTGCAATATGCAGTTGTCTGATTATAATTTCACGTCAGTCACATGTGAGAAGAATGCTTCCAGTTTGACTCTGCCAAACACCGCAGGTTTTCTCCAGATACTTCCATTTGTTCTTGTAATAACACTAAGTGAAAAAGAATAGCCGTTATTGTTCCTCTAGGAAGAACAATTCAGAACTGATAGAGCTATCCAGTATAAATAAAGTTAGTTTAGTTTAGGTTGCCCGTTGTAGTAACACTGGATCAAGAAGAGATTACTCTTGCTGGATCTCTGGGAAGAACAGTTCAGAACTGATAGAGCTATCCAGTATAAATAAAGTTAGTTTAGTTTAGGTTGCCCGCTGTAGTAACACTGGATCAAGAAGAGATGACTCTTGCTGGATCTCTGGGAAGAACAGTTTAGAACTGATAGAGCTATCCAGTATAAATAAAGTTAGTTTAGTTTAGGTTTCCTCCTGTAGTAACTCTGGATCAAGAAGAGATGATTCTTACTGGATCTCTGGGAAGAACAGTTTAGAACTGATAGAGCTATCCAGTATAAATAAAGTTAGTTTAGTTTAGGTTGCCCGCTGTAGTAACACTGGATCAAGAAGAGATGACTCTTGCTGGATCTCTGGGGAGAACAATTCAGAACTGATAGAGCTATCCAGTATAAATAAAGTTAGTTTAGTTTAGGTTGCCCGCTGTAGTAACACTGGATGAAGAAGAGATGACTCTTGCTGGATCTCTGGGAAGAACAGTTTAGAACTGGTAGAGCTATCCAGTATAAATAAAGTTAGTTTAGTTTAGGTTTCCTCCTGTAGTAACACTGGATCAAGAAGAGATGATTCTTACTGGACCTCTAGGAAGAACAGTTTAGAACTGATAGAACTATCCAGTATAAATAAAGTTAGTTTAGTTTAGGTTTCCTCCTGTAGTAACACTGGATCAACACTGAACCTCTAGGGAGACAGTTTAGAACTGATAAAGATATCCACTGTAATTAAAGCTAGTTCAGTTAGTTTAGTGAAGTGAAATTGAATAAGATTTTTCTCGTTCCAGGCTACATGGCGTACGGTCATGATCCCACTCCAGCGCAACAACTGTCATCTTCAATGTTTGCAAGGTAAGATCATGTCAATGTAGAGAGATCAGTTTTCATTCTCTGCAGAGTCAGAATTTAATTTGAAACGATCCATTATATATCCATTTATCTATTCTCATATCACTGGATGATGACGTGTTAATATTGTATAAATTTCCATTAATCTTACACCTGTAACTGACAAGCCGACTATGAAAAATCCTAAGACGTTTGCTGACTGATATTAATATTATGATTTCATTTCGAATTTGTTTGAACAAGGCTGGGTTATGCATGACACAGTACGAAGGTGGGCCTATACACGATCATCAGTAGATTGCTTGCTTTTTGCGTCAGATGATGACAAAACAAATATGTCATATTAATGTGAATAGCTTGAATAGACAAGCGAGAGCCATTAATTTGTGATTGTCATTCGCAGTTGTCTGCGTGCAAAGCCTATAAAGGTTTTAGCTGGGATAATCTTATATAAAAATCAGACATTCGGTGAACGGCATAGCTATATGGCAAGCTTAAATCAAAATTCAAATGCATCTAGCTTATTAGATGTTGATACGCGATTCACGGAGTTGAGTCGAGCGTTTATTTTGCTTCTACAGCGCCACAACGAGGAAAAAAGGTGAGAGGTGCATTATTTCAATAAGTTTTGTTTCTGTAAAAGGTTAAAGATTTTTACTTATTAAGGTTAAAAGGTTTTGGTGACGCAAAAAATAGGGCAAAATCATACAGCTTTAATCGATGATGTTGATATAAAAGTATATATTTATGCAATATAAGTTTAATTGGAGATATTTAATGACAGGACTGTATATGCAACGACAATCTTTGTAAACGCAACTCAATATATGCGGTAGTCATGAATTCAACAATTATCTTTCATATAAGAAGACGTGGTTTTCAATTGGCTTTTTGACGCAAAAATTAAAAGTGTGAGTGTGTTAAACGAGGCGAGTAAAAAAGTAAAATCAGTATTTGTAAAGTTAGTGGTAGCGCAAATCGATCGATCAAGAATTATTAAATATACTTTTAAAGAGAAAATCCTGGCACTTCATGAAACGAGCATATGAAAATATATGTGCAAGGTAGATTATCATGTTTGAAAAGTTGAAAGTCAATGAGTTTAATATTATCCATCTAGTTATCTATCTATAGATATTTTAGCAATATACCGTTATCTAGCGGATATCTTGCACATGTCTCAAGTTGATATTATTTTTATGGAAATATATTAAAAGCTCTGTTATATGCATATTTAAATGTAGAAATCTTATTAAATTTTGGATTCTAGACCAGACGGCTCTAAAATTTGCACTCTGTCTGGAAAAATCAATTTCTCTTGCGAATTTATTGATATAGAGCGTTCATTGTTTTGTTATATAGGCAATATTTTCGCAGCATAAAGTAATATGTTTTGTGTCATGTCCAAATGCATGCACTACATCAATATACGCTTTTTATAAAATAATGAATAATGAAAGGTTAAAGTGAACCTCGTACCCAGGCTGTTTTCGCCTCGCCCGGTAACAAAGTACTGGGGACAAGGGATAAAATATAAAAAGTTGAAAGGATTAACACTTCCCAAAATTACAGTCAAACAAATTCAGTGAGTCGTTTCTATATACGATGACGCATCTATACTTGCAACCGAAGTTTTGGAGGACATATAAGATCTATACAGCGTTTTAATTACACTAGAGTGTGAGAAATATTCACATTATCCATTAACGTCATTAAATGAATTGATCATAGGTATTCCTGTTTGGATCTGTGCCAGAATTTAGTAAGCTCATGCGATTTCTTCCATGTATATATGCTTTGGTTTCTATTTATACTTTTACCTCCAATTGGCATGAAAGTATATCGATATTGTCTCTAAACTGATAACGATAAAGCTTTTGACAAGTGTTTCAAATTTTTAATCAACATCAATATCTGCTCATGCAATTTTAACGAAATTAGTTTATACATAAATTTATTGCGTCAAATCTGCATTCATTGTGATTAATGGATAATGAAATTGGATTCATATTTCCCAGCTGATGATGATTACGTTAAAAAATTCACTCAATGCTCATTTCCCGTTGTGCTCAAGCATCATTTTCATCATGTATTTAAATTTTGTTTTGATTCAATAAAATTTGTGAATTCTTTTGGAAAACTGGGAGGTAATGGAATGGAATTCAAAATTTCAAAATGAGAAATTATTTCAAAATGAGAAATTTAATTTGGATCATTGATTGTGTAATGAAAATGGTAATATTCCATATGTATCAGTGAAAAAAAATGGAATGAGCAAAAATAGAAAATTGAAAGGAATAAATGTACATACGTATAGTGATTGTTTGTCAATCACATTGTCAGAATTTTAATCCGCTCTGTGACTTATTTGATTTTGTGCCAAAACAATGTTTACTATCTATATAAATGTCATACTAGAAAGTTATTTATATTGGTTAGTGCTATCAGTTTTAAACTGTTCTTCCTAGAAATCCGGCACAGGTGGCACAATGGGTCTGCTTTTCAGCTCTGTGACTGAGGTTTCATTCCTACATTGTACAGTTTTGTGATTATAATCAGTTCGCCTCAATCATAATATGAGAAGATTGCTTCCAGTTTGAGCCAATCACCACAGGTTTTCTCTGGGTACTAAATACAGTCCGATATTACTATGTCATCTTCGTTAATGAGATGGAAGGGTGCAGGCAAGCTCTGACATTTCTGTCTTCAAAGAAGAAAAACAAAGTTTACATTTATTAAGCTGTGACAACAACATGTGATTAAATCTCCCCGGTCAGTTTATTCAACTTTTAATTTGAAACACAAACACAGTTCTACTCGAGTTGTTACAATCAGTTTCCTGGCTTGAACACAATACAAAATGAAAGCTGTTGCGGATTAAACTGCTTTCCTGTTTGTATTAGGTACAAGAAACTCTTAAAACAATGTTAGATACTACACTTCGACAGTCTCAAAAACGGAAGAAACGACAAGAATAACATTTTTCTCTGTGGTAAAAATCAATGTATTTTCATATGTAAGAAATCAATGTCATAGTTTTCCTAAAAGGTTGTCCATACTTGAATTCTTGTCTTGTGTTTTATTTACCAAAGATTTAAGGATTGTTTGCATAAAATTCAATTGTACTTCGAGGAGGTTTCATAAATATGACATTTTACACATGTAACTCATGTATAAGGAATGACCTTGATGGGATGGCAATGAGTAAACTAATATGAAGGCGTGAGATTTCTATGATATGGTTGTATCGTTGTACTAACTTAAAGGAAGTTCGTTGTTTAACAAGAGGTATAGTTTGTTTTGCAGCACTAATCTTCTTTCATTCTTCTGTCTGGGAAATGTCTATATAGCTTTAATCAGTTGCAATTGTTGCTTGTATGGCGATGTATATAAGTTACGACGTCTTGGCTCAGTGTGTGGCTTTCATCTCTGGGTTCATTCTTGCAATATGTCTGAGAGATAAAATATGTCAAGAGACGATCCTTACTCTAGGAAGAACAGTATAGAACTGATAGAGCTATCCAGTATAAATAAAGTTAGTTTAGTTTAGGTTTCCTCCTGTAGTAACACTGGATCAATAAGAGACGTTCCTTACTGGACCTTTAGTGAGAACAGTTTAGAACTGATAGAGCTAACCAGTATAAATATAGTTAGTTTAGTTTAGGTTTGCTCCTGTAGTAACACTGGATCCATAAGAGATAATCCTTACTGGATCTCTAGGAAGAACAGTTTAGAATTGATAGAGCTATCCAGTATAAATAAAGTTAGTTAATTAGTTTCGGTTTTCTCCTGTAGTGACACTGGATCAATAGGAGATGACCTTTATTGGACCTCTAGGGAGAACAGTGTAGATCTGAGATTGAATAGAATCTCTTAAATAAATGTATTTCCTTACTCTAGGGCAGCATACAAGTTACGCAAGAAGCAAAAACGGAACGGAGAACCGAGGTCACCAACCAAACTGGAAATGACGGCCCCAATTACAACTCTCTTAAATAGTAGAAACTGTTCTCCAGAACCCTGTCTCTTTCCGACCAATTTTAACAACGCGATCAGATGTTACCCCCCGCCCTCACCTCCAGGGCTTATTAAAGGATTGGCAAAACGTAAAAGTACGGGGGGAAAGGTAAGAGAATCTTCATTGGGAGCATGGAAGTTATGTTTACAAGATGCTACGAACAAATAAAAGCATTAAAAAGACATATAAACTTTTCAAGCTTGTCTAAACAGCATCTGAAGACAACATTCAGTAACACTGCACTTTGATTTATGTTAACGGGGACTATATAGGTTTACATGGTACAGAATGAGGGCTATACACATGACCTTAAACCTGCAGATTGAATATTCACATAAACCTGTAGTCAAACATTATGTCAAATATCTTTCAGGTCAAAGTGTTGCTACGAATCAGTCCCAGTTTCCCAGGTGAGACCAGTTCATTTCTGAAAGTAGATCAAAAGAAGAAACAGGTCACGTTGTATGATCCGACAGCTGTCAGTCACGTGTCACAGAAATACAGACGTATGGGCGTGGCCGCTCCTAAAATGTTCGCGTTTGACTCCATCTTTGAACCAGACTCTTCACAGGTACTTTGTACTTTTGGGAAAATGAAATATATTCTTCACAGTGTAGCGAGCTATGGTGACACGGACACTAAACATCGTGTCATTAATATAATTCCACCCAATACATCATATCAACTGTCTGTTTCAGGCTGAGATCTGTAGCACTGCTCTCACTGATGTTCTTCAGTCAGTAGTAAATGGTTCCGATGGTTGTGTTTTTGCTTATGGACACTCCGGGTTAGGTAAGTGAAGAAAATGTTATTTGTTCAAAACTTACGGAAAATCCTAACTATAAGGCGCTGAGTTCAAGAATATAGAAGCTAAAATATTTTTAATCTGCAGGAAAAACATTCAGCATGGTTGGTCGAGATGAAACTGTTCATAGTTTAGGAATAGCTCCTTGTTCAATTGCCTGGCTCTTTAAACTCATTGATGAGAAAAGAGAAAGGTGAGCATAAATACAGTACACTAGATTTTATATACAACATGTTTTTCTATGCAATATTTCTAAGATATATCATCACGAGGGGACGTCGCTGACGCAGTCGGCAGAGCAAGCATCTTTCACGTCTAAGATCTTAGTTTCGATTCTCGCTGCTCAAATCTACCGAAAATCATGGGTTAATTATAATTTTCTCCGGGTAGGGTTGGTTGAGATTAGCCCCTAACTGGCCCTTCCACTGTTGCTGCACTTCTTGATCATAAATAAGTCATAAGGTGGCTGGCAGAGGCGTCCTTAGAAAGGCTTTGAGATGGGTTAGATGTGTCCTTCGTAATTCAGCTTAGTTCTCAGCTGCAAGTAAGGACAACACGCTTACCGACTCACGTTCTCAACTAATTTGTCGTTTTTATTTCCAGGACTGGTGCCAGATTTTCTATTCGTGTTTCTGCTGTTGAAGTTGTGGGACGTTCAGAGAATTTAAAAGATTTATTACAAGAACAATCAACAGGTAGATTATTTGTCAGGAATTGACATATTTTTATTAAAATTATATCGTTTAATCTTCAAGATTGCTTTTTAATCCGAAACACTGAAACGAGTTTGGTATTTGTCGATTACAACTTTTAATCCAGAAATAATTATAATAATAATACTTCAGTATTTTCCACCAACAAAATTTCTTGCTTAACAGTTAAGATCTAGAGCCTAATTTTTTACACTTTAACCATTGATAGCTGACAGTAATGATGCTACGAATGGAACGAAACCAAGTGTTTATCTTTATGACGACCCAGTCTCTGGACCTCAGGTATATTGAGCTACAATTACGTTGCTTGCACTTTCTTTTATATCGTAACCAAATATTGAAATATATGCTCTCTGCTCTCATGTTTAATATGTAATAATATTGTTCTATAATTTCTTATTCATAGCTGCTCAATCACAGCGAACTACGAGCATCTACACCGGAGAAAGCTGCTCTCTATCTTGATGCTGCATTGGCTGGCAGAACCGTACCAAACAATGGTATGTTGCCACTCGTATGGAAACACTAAAGACTACAGGACAAGTGTACCAAACTACGACATACAACTATACTTAATTTCCACTCAGGAAAATTTTCCGCAGAAACAAAAAATGTTGAAGGTTGAAAATTTTCAGCTTTTAACAATGATATTTTTGGAAAATTTTGTGTTCGTGGAAATTTTTCTTGTGTGGAAATGGGCCTTTAATATACATTTTACTCAGTGAACAATATTCTGTTTGTCGTTTGATACATGTATTGATTGTATTGATTTTATTTTCAGAGAAAGATACAGAAGAAACTCTCAATTCTCACATGTTTTTCACCATTCATGTCTACCAGTCAAGGGTGGATAAAATAGCTGGAAAAATGGGAGGTGAGAATTTGATTTGAAACTACGGAAAGCGAGGCGTATTTAAATATACTTTGAGGCACTTTTAAATATACTTTGAGCGTTTTAATATCTTGGTAACAACTTTCTAAACGTGAAATATGAGTTCATTTATGAAGGGTTATTACCATTGTATCGAGACAACTATACGGTACTGATGTCCATTGAAATAGGTATTTTAATATTTTTCCGTAGTCCATGGTGGAAGATCTCGCCTTCACTTGATCGACTTGGCAAGTTGTGAGAGATACAACTCTACGAAAAAAGAAACCAGTTGTTGTTCGATGTCTTTGAATGGCCTGGGAAATGTGATCATTGCTCTTATTAATGGCGCAAAACATGTTCCACACAAGTAAGATTTATATACGTTTCACTAAAGACTATTGTACAACAGTAAAGGTTATTTACACACTGAGAAAATAATGTTAAGTACTAAGAGTGTTTTATCACATATAAAACACGACGCGTAGCGGAGTACAAGTGCTTTAAATGGCTTAAAAAACGACTCGTCTTATACGAGTTCATTGGCGAAGTAATTTTTAAAATAAACTTTGTCTAAACCGAGAAAATCAAAGCTAAAGTTTATGTAAATTAACATGATTTTTTATCACTTATAAAACCACGACACGCTTATGATTTTTCAGGAGAATTATTAATGAGTTTTTAAAATTATTTTTCAACATATGTCGTAGTCTTTCATTTGAAGGGAAATAAATAGAATTCAATTTGCATTTGAAGGGAAATAAATAGAGTTCTTGCAACTTTAAGTATCATATAAACATTGTTATTTTTAGGGACAGTACCTTAACCAGACTTCTGAGAGAATCGCTGGGCAGTACCACCTGCCGCGCGACAATGATTGGTCATATATCACCATCTATCCCATTCTATACCGAGTCTCTATCATGCGTCCAGTTCGCAGCGAGAATTCATCGTCTAAGGAGGAAAAAAGGAGGCAAGGTAAGGGTTAAGAATAACTAAACATTTTGTGAACTGGTTTGTCCAGCTAAGAAGCATGGCTAGGAAGCAACGTTTCTTGGTTTGTCCACCTTTAAGAAACTTGGCTAGTAAACAATGTTTCCTGGTTTGCCAATCTTCGTGAAACATGGCTAGGAAACAATGCTTCCTGGTTTGCCTTGAATTCGTCCACCCTTTATAAGATATCATTGTTTCTATTTCATCAGGGTTCAAGCACAAGTTCCTCGGGTGGCGAGAGTTCTTGCGATGAAATGAGAATGCGCAAACCAAGGATTCGTACCAGTGCCCTCACTGAACCATTGCGCGAGGAGACCAACAATCACTCGGACTATACTTCGAGTACTGGAGAGGAGTCATGTGACACCGTTATCTACTGTGGCCCGGATGGAGAGCTCAGTGACCGGGATCTCACGGACAATGAGGGACCGTCGCATATGAATAAGGTCCCTGTAGGACCTAAAGGGATTGAAGTCGATGAGAAATTAAGGTAATAATAATGAGGACTTTATTTAATGAAACTTGATAATAGCTTAATTTATATTTGATGATCCGTCCGGGCAAACATGAGCAAAGAAAAGCTAGCGTGTCTAAAAATGCCAACAAGCCTGGTCTTAATAGAACTAGATGACAACACTTTGTAATATTGCACTCTTGTTTCAACTAGGTCTAAATTGGACGCCATAGAGGAAAAACAACCCGAAGGTAGCCGCTGCCCCAGTATGGAACTCGAGTACGACCTTAGTGAAGAATTCAAGGGAAACATAGAAAAGGTCCCTGAGAAAGGTTCTGTTGAAAATCTTACACTTAAGAGGAGAAAGAAAATTAAAAATAATGACAACTGTGAATTCTGGGAAGATCCGTTGGCCCGTGTGCAAGAGCAGGAGGTTGGAAACGAGTTATTGGCAGAAACCGCTGAGCAGGATACAACCTGTACTACCGGCTCAGGTGATGAACTTGATCGGTCGGAAAGCGTCGTAATTACGACAAGTACCGGTTTTGTCCCGATCACAGAGGCGAAGTACAGTTCGGAAAACGACTTGACTTCCGGTGATAATGATGTGATAGAGGAGGAACTTAGTCACTCCCCGGCACTTGATACCCCCTTGAGTACCTTCTATCATCTCGTTCCAGACTCCGACTCGGACGGACAAGAGAAGGTGGCCAATAGGAGCCCAGAACGTCAACAACGTCATAGTCCTAAAACCATCCCCAGTTCCCCTCCAAGCCCGACCAGTAAAGAAGTGCGGTCCATTTTAGAAAACTATGTAGTTGATCAAATGCTCATTAAAAATTCCGCTCAGCAAAACTTTCAGAGCCACCTTAATACGAAGGATGGAACAAATGAAGCTGACGGTGCGACTGAGGGACTGGTACCGCCTTTAACGCCGCAGAAAACCTGCGTAGCCGGAACTGCGCAGATCAGCGCGACCTCTCCGAAACGCGTGAAACTCGCGTGCCGTCCACGCAGTAAGGAAGCGACGTCATCGAACCGGAAGTGTTTGAGCGACGCAGGAGATAACCGCAGTGATACACATAGTGAAGACTCGTACGGGAGTACCAAGACGGACCCCCTACATTATGTGAAAACCCCACGCCGGGGGATTAAGCCATGCCATGCTAGCAGCTCTGGGTCACTACCTAGGGAGTATAAGGTGATTATTAGGGATAAGATGGCATGTGTGCATTATGTGGGGTGCGAGATGGATAATGACAGGGATATAAAAGGACATCAGGATACAAGTGTGCAACGTAGTCCTAGCAAGGCTGCTCCAGTACAGTTGAGGTAAAAAGTTTTGAATTCTGGCTTTAAAAATAAACTAAATTTATTGACTTGTTACAAGTTGTTCCAACAACTTGTTATCGTCCTGCAATTCAACAATTTGTCAACAAGTTGTGAGTGACAACCTTGTAGCAACTTGATAAAATAACAGCATTGTTACAACTTGTTGACAAGCTTGTTACAAGTCTGTTGTGAACACATCTTGTTGACAAGTTGTGAGATTTTTACGTGTGATAACAAAGTGTCAACACCCCAATCTGAACATTCAATAATATATTTTCCAGGTATTGTGGCTACGAAACCAACAGTGAAAATGATAAGACAGATTTCACTCCCACGAGTCCAGACTCACAGCGTAAAGCGACGCCCTTGACGATTACCAGTCGTGCCACGTTTGCGTTCAACCAATCGTCACTGAAGAAACCCAAGGTTGAGCACGAACCAATCAGAACTGGAGAACCATATGGACCGCATGACGCTAAAAATAGCAAAGAAAAATTATGTGCAAAATCGGATGGTGAAGCAGAAATGAATTCGGAAAATGATTCGCCCGGACGCAGAGGTGCAAATTTGGATGTACCACGACAGCGTTCGAAACTCAAAGCTTCAAGGTAGTGTAATTGTCTTTGATCAAAGTATGTGAAGTGCATTCTTGTTCAATTAGTCTTCCAGGCACAAGTTTAATTCTTATTTGCATGTGGGAAAAGTGGTTTCGGTTTGACTGTCAACGCAGCTCGTTTTATCCAGGTGCTCTGGTTTCCTGTAACATTTGACCAGTAAGAGTTGAACCTTACTCGAACCTCTAGGGAGAACAGTAAAGAGTGATCCTTTCTGTACCCTAGGGAGAACAGTTTAGAACTGATAGAATTCCAGTATAAATAAAGTTAGCATAGTTTAAGTTTCCTCCTGTAGTAACACTGGACAAATAAAGAGTGATCCTTTCTGGACCCTAAGGAGAGCAGTTTAGAACTGATAGAACTATCCAGCATAAATAAAGTTAGTTTAGTTTAAGTTTTTTCCTGCAGTAACACTGGATAAATAAAGAGTGGTTTTTACTGGACCCTAAGGAGAACAGTTCTAGAAGTATCCAGTTTATATAGATTTTAGTTTACGAGCAAAATGTGTGATCACTATAAATGTTAATATTTCATTCATCTCTCATCTTCCAGAAGACGGGATAGTGGTCAAGGCTACAGTAGTGGTATAGCCAGTGATGGTAGCATTACAGACTCACCATCATCTAAATCACCTGCACGCAGGCGGAGAAGACTAGGCTCAGAGATCAGCAGTAGTGGTTACGAAAGCATGCGTGATGGAACTACGAGTCACGTGTCAGGTAGTGACAGTGCGGATGAAAAAGGGACACTTGTGGATAGATCCAATTCAGGTAAGGAGCATTTGTGGATAGATCCAATTCAGGTAATATTTAATTCACAGTGATCATTGTAGTTTCATTTTGAATATCGTGATCACGTGCAATCTATTGGTTTCTTTAGGAAAACGTCACGTGGGTACCTCCTCAGATAGACAAAATTATTTCGATGACTTTGAACGTTTAAGATTGCGGGGCATTGATGAAACGAGGGTACGTATTATGATGGTATGACAGACCAATACTGGACCTCTAGGAAGAACAGTTTAGAACTGATAGAGCTGTCCATTATAAATAAAGTAACATGGTTTATTATTTTCTTCAGGAAAATGACAGTGGATGTGTTTCCGGGTCACTCTTAGATATTCATAAATGGAGAATTATTAAGTTACGAACAAAACAAGTTGAATTGAGAAATGAATTAGACCAAGCCAAAAGCAGATTACTTCTTGATGGAACTAGATGGAGCTTTTATCGTAAGTCAATTATTTGGGTTGTACGCCCTAGTACGCTTTCGACACATGTTTGAGCTGCGTTCCAAAAAACAATAGCAGCCCCTACCCTTGAAACAATTTTGACTAACATAATCCACTTTCCTCTGTAGTTGAATCGCAAACTATGAAACCAGAAGACCCGGAGTTGGTCGAAATACTAGAAAAGGAAAATAAACGTTTAGAAAAAAGAATCCGTGTTTGCAAATCTCGAGTTATGTTGGTCACATCTTTTGATATATTGCCTCAGAGAAGTAAACTATAGTGCTACCTTGAAATGTAAATTATTTAAATGTACAGAGATGGAGTATAGATAATGAACATGTATAATGTAAGAAAGTCTAATTGAAAGAAATTTAAGTACAAGGACTATAAGAAAGGATTAAAGTATATTAGTTAACCTACAGGTACATATACACGTACAAATCTCCCAGCTTGTCAACAAGATATGTTCGCACTGCTTGTTCCCAGTTGTTGACCAATCTGGAACAAGTTGTTATCATCTTGTAACAAGGTGGATGAGGCCAACAGACACGCAACGAGTTGTTCCAACAAGTCTGATATCGTCTGCACGTAACAAGTTGTTAAAAGTTGATGACAACAAGCTCGTAGCAACTTGTTACGAACAGCCTGTATTAGTCTTGTTGGAACGACTTGTAGCAAGTCTGTTACCGTTATCAGCCTCGTAACAAGTTGACAACAACTTGTTCCAGACTTGTCACAACAACCACTAGAAACAAGCAGTGCGAACACATCCCACCTTGACAACAACCTTCTTACAACTTTTTGCAGATTTGTTTGCGCGTTTTTACGCGTGTAGGTGTGTTTGACTGCAGCAGTTGGTGGTGAAGTTATCAGAGTGAAAATATAATAGTAATGTTATGGTCTTTGTAAATGAATAAAAATGAGAGATTTAGCTTAATTTTCTTGTTGCGATAAGTGTGAACACTGTTTTGAAGCTGAGCACCATCTGCTGCCCTGGAACGCTGACGGAAAGCTAACAACTTTGGCACGTTGTTGTTGCCTATAACTTAAGTATCATATAAAGTATATTTTAAGAATGTAAATTATAGTAAGTACATATAGTAAATATCTTTATACTTTATATACTAAGTTCTGTAAATTATTACAAACATAAAGTTTTAAATAAAATATATGTGCATGCAGCATATTTTTAAATTGGATCATAGATATTTGCTAGCGGCTCAGTACATGCAGCCGTTACCCTAGCCCAGTTGAACTTTGAATGTATAAAAGATGAATTATGAGATGATGGCGTTATCAAGTGTCTGGATGAGCATGGAGAACAGTAGGATTTTCAAAACTGTACAATGGAATATTACGATCAATGGATGCTGATCAGACTGGATGACACTACTACTTTTATTATTAGATAACATTGATATCGAAGGAACTAGATTCTGTTCCGAAATATCACATTCATTGTATTCACATACTCAAACCGACCAGACCGCGTAGCTCAGTTGGCAGAGCATTGGGCTAGTATTCCAAAGGTCGTAGGTTCGATTCCCACCGATTCCCACCGTGGTCAGGCATATTTTTCAAGCTTGCCCGGTGTGGATATACACTCAGAGTAACATCACAAGCATCATATTCACCTGAGTACATTACACCAACACAGAAAAAATCATGTTATATCAAGTGTTTTGCAAATGCCTATTTAGTGTACGGGCATAAACACCTTTTTTTATCGATGTGATTTGCCGAGCTAATCAAAACCTATCATCGCCTCATCGGAATTTTGCGCGTAATATCACACCACACATGACACAATAGTTAACATGCACCGAAGCACGTAAACGAACGTAAAGCCTCATTACTGAACGAAACAATCGTCAAAACTACAGTTCCCTATTGGCTGATAGCACTCGATCCGTTCTCAACCGTATAATAGCAAGCTCTTATTGGATAAACGTTTGGCTTAATTTATTCGCACGAAAGTTGGCAGTGTGTTGGTGATTTACATACGATTGCTTACGTACTGAACGTAAACGCGAAATTTGCATGGATGAGATGTTATAACTCGAGACGTCTCGCTCATTCCCTGAAAAACTGGCACGCTTTATTGAATGCCATTCTTTACCTAGTTGATTAAACTCAGAATATCCGCAGAATGTTAACTGATATAACTTTGGAAGTTAAGTCGACCTGGCCGCTGTTTGTGCACGAAAATTTAGTTCATTTTCAATGGAATTTGATGACTCGACAGTCTCGTGCCATATCATATGCTGTACTGTATATGAATTTGCATGAAAGTAAACACAATTCCCAAAGGGCAAAATTGCACCAGATGTCTGTACTATAGACATTGTCATTGCGCTACTCAATACAGTATGTTTCGTAAATTTTTCGATTCCCAAAGTCAAAGGCAAACATATTTGTGAAGAGTTTAAATTCGTTCATGAATCAATCATGACATTACGAGATTTATAGCGAGGACATGTACATATCAACGATAGTTTCAGCATTGAAGCATGCATATAAGCACGGCGAGCCAGAGTAAAACGATTTTAATTTAAAATCGATCGCTAGAAAATTTTTATGGCCAGTCTGTTTTTGGGATTTGACCTTGAAGGCTGAACGACTAATTAATGTATTCTCTTGTGACTCTTAGTGTCTGGAGAAGTTTTAAGATTCAAACATTTTCTGTGCAAATAGTTGGACATATGTCTGCACGAGAATGAGAACTTTGTATATGCAAACATATTTTCGCACGATGCGATAGTACGTTAGGAAATCTCAAGACTCTATAGTGATCTACACGTGCATCTCGACGTAGCTTCAAATCGAAATTGTGATTAACTGACAACATGATAAAGTCTTTAGAATTCGCACATTTTACAAACAATATGCATATCTATCATTTACACATATTACATGTGGA